ACTTTTGGCCAAAATTTAGTTTTGGTCAATATTTTCACTAAACGTGCTCAAATTAATATTTTTGATATAATGATATGTGTCACGTTGAGATTAATTTAACTTGTTGTCATAAATTTTGCATGTTTCATTCAAATATGATTTATAAATTGATATTAATATTTTTGAATTTATATTCGTGCTCTTAGATTTTTAAATGCGATAAATTAATAAATATTTTACTATTGAATAATCATTCAGTCAATAATATTTTGAACATATTGTCAATCAATTACTAACCTAATATTGAACTTGAATGATATATTCCCCATCAAAATAACAATCAATTAGTAAATTTATTAAAAAATAAATAATCATACTAATGTATTTAAAAATTAATACCAACAAGGGTTGTGGTATAGTGGTAAGTATTCCTCCATACTTAACCAAGAGGTCTCGAGTTCAATGGTGTTTACCAACTAATTTGAGCAACCATTAATATAAGTTGGCATTTGGTTGATAATTTAATTTGATCAATGATTTATTTTTTTTTTGATAATTGGAGTTTCTTTTGTAGTGATGAAAAGGCTCTTGAATGTGGATAGAAGGGTTGTCGGGTAAAATTGCTCAAAAATAATTGCTTTAACTATGTAAAAAATCATTTTTGCTTTTGCGATTAAGGACTTAACAAAATTGTGTTGTTATTTTTCTCTTTTTGCTTTAGTTTTTCATATGTTCTCTGTATATCTTTTTTAAAGGGATAATGCCCAAGTACCCCTCAATCTATGCCCGAAATCTGAGAGACACACTTATACTATACTAAGGTCCTATTACCCCCCAGAACTTATTTTATTATCAATTTTTTACCCCTTTTCGACCTACGTGGCACTATCTTGTGGGCCCAACGATTATTGACTTTTTTTTTCAAACTAGTGCCATGTATGCTAAAAATGGGTAGAAAATTACTTATAAAATAAGTTTAGGGGGGTAATAGGACCTTAGTATAGTATAAGTGTGTCTCTGAGATTTCGGGCATAGGCTGAGGGGGTACTTGTGCATTATCCTTTTTTTAAATTTAGGTTCTTATCAATTCATTTAGGCTCAAATTAATTATTTTTAAGTTTTAACCAGAGACGAATCCAAGGTATGAATTACCTGGGTGCCAAGTAGACATATTGCTTAGACCACTAAATCGACCTTAGATTTCGATTCCGTACAAAATCCATAAGGCATAACCTTTTTTAAAATAATTTTACTAATATTATAAATATATATTATTCATTTATAATAGTTCTCGACCAGTTTACAAATTTTCAAAACTGTCAATTAGAACAAAATTACTTATATTTGTAAACATACCACTTACTAAGAAACAAACTAAACAAATCATTCGAATATCAATCACCACTCTTATTTTATATTTCATTTTTTATCTACTTCACGAAAGAAAATATTTCACAATTGCGATAGCTATAAAAAAAATATTTACTTCATCAATTTTAAAAAGATTAAGTAATAGAAATATTTTTTATTTCATTAGGAAAAGAGGATTTTATCATATCTAAATAAAAATTAAAGATGAAGTTACTATAATATTATTTATGGAAAAAAGCATAAAATACCCTCAAAGTATTGGAAATGGTACAAAATTATCCTTCATCCACCTATTGGCTCCATAATACCCTTTCCACCCACCTATTGAGTCCAAAATATCCTTGTCATCCACCTTTTGGTTCAAAGTTGACCACTTATTTAACGGTTTTATATTTAAACTATTTAAATATATTTTTAAATACGTGGCGCTCAACTATTGTTTTAATTTAACTTATTAGTATAAATTATAAATCAATCCACTACCCACCCGTTACTAACTAAACCCACCAAATTAATAAACCCGTCATAATATTAATGCAACAACAAAAAAGCTACTGCCAATTGACTATTTTTAAAAATTTGAGACGAAAATATCTATAGAAGTAAATTATCATACATTCAAGTGTTTAAATAAAAATTATCGACAAATTTAAAAGTCTGACTATGTTCATCTCAATCATTCTTATGTCTCAATTATGTGATGTTACTTCATAGGTAACTTTTTTAAAAAAATAATATATCAAAGATTTTAAAACAAATGATAATTATTTATAAAAGTATATTTTAAAAAAGTGCATAAATTAATTCGGGATATATTAATTCTTTACATTTAATCGTAAATATCTAATTCAATCTTGAAAGACTATTGAAAGTGTCCTCCTAAATAAACGACTCAACATAAATTTAATTGGAGCTTTGATTCGGACTCGAATAATTTTTTATGTCATTTTCAGGAATCTACAATTTCATCGTGTTTTAGTAGTGTTTATTTCGATTTTGATATAGTAGTTGGATTATTAATTGGGTGGGGTTTAGTTAGTAATGAGTGGGTAATGAGTTGGTTTATAAATGATATAAATAAATTAAATTATAATCAATAGTTGAGCATCAAGTATTTTAAAAAATATTTAAATAGTTTAAATTTAAAATCATTAAATAAGTGGTCAATTTTAAACTCAAAGGATGACAAGGATATTTTGGAGTCAATAGGTGGATAAAAAAGGCATTTTGGAGCCAATAGGTGGATGAAGGGTAATTTTGTACCGTTTTTAATACTTTAAGGATATTTTAGATCCTTTTCCGTATTATTTATAAAGTACATAACATTACTCTGTTTAAATTAGAAAACAAGATTAAGAAAAGTATTACTATTTCCACTTTTTTTTTTAGCTAAAAAGATTTCAAAAGAAAAGAAACAAGAAAGGGATTCTTTAAAAATCATAATTTTATTTTAAAAATAATAATATTCATTAGAAAATTTAATTTTTGATACAATAAAGTACGTAGCAACAGGAATATTTTTAGGATCAAACTATTAATAGCGGAGAGTGAAGATATTTTTAGAACAAATTATTTATACAAAATATCTTTATTTAATGTATCATAATATTAAGCTATTTTTAACTCTTCTCTATTAAATAAATAACTAATAACACATTATGAAAAAATCAAATATTTATAAATTAAATTAGTGAACGATAATTACTAATTAAAACTAAGCCAACTAGAATTAAAGAGAAAAAAGGAAATATAATCTTCAAAATATGTTTTGTTGAAGCACAATTCCTCATCGAGGTTCTTTTTAATAAAAGTTGCTTCCGAGATTCAATTCCGGGTCTAGAAGGAGGAGAGTCTCGCTCTTTTACCAGTGGTACCACAACACCTTTTGGTTATGTGGATGCCATTTGCTTATTTATACACATTGTACATATATACACCTATATGTATGTCACATCTCGATCGAAACTCATGGGTGGCGTGACACCCTCACAAGTCTTAGTAGAGATTCGCCTCTGATTTTAACTTTATCATAATACAGTTGATTACGTTAATATACGTTCAAATTTTACTATTCATGGCTCAAAATAAAGAAATGCATATTAATATATTGAAATACACACATTTTAGATATTTCTTATATGAAGAATCATTTATATTTTCTTTAAATTTGTTCTTTCTTTTACTTTAAAAGAATTATCAGAATTATGTAAGATATATATAAAAAAAGAATAGAAAATTATTTAGGCAATGATGAAAACAAGAGAAATATATTTATTTAGACGATGATGAATAAGAGAAAAAACAAATATAATGAAAGGATCAAATACCCAAAAAATAATAATAGAAATACTTATCTTTTTCTCCTCCTATTTTTGTCACTTTTTTATTCTAATGAAAGGAAGATTCATCGTACAGTAAATTTATCATTTAACAAAAATAAGAAAAAAATCAAGTCCTTAAATATGTTTATTTAAATTATATGTATTATCATCATAATGTATGGATTTTTTTTCCCTTAATGAATTAGTCTTTTAATTTTGAAAATCTTTGATAATAAAATATAATTCACTTAAGCTCTAATTCTACAAAAATATTTTGTATCGTAATATCTATCATTTTCTTATTTCTACAGTTGGTTTTTTATTTAATTTCCTTGTATCATATTAATTTTAAAAATAAATTTACATGTATTTGCCATGGCTGCGTGAAGCGTTATCTAATTCCCCTAATATCTAATAATTTGTGGTTTGTCATTCAAGAAAGTTGTAAGTACGTCTGTATATATATATATATATATTTTCTTTGCGAACACAATATGAATGAATAATTGAATAGTTTTGAACAAAGTAAATTACAAATATGTTTTTCTTTCTTCGTAATTTTTATATTAAAGTAGGATAATTAAGTTATCAACTTTTTGAATCAGATTTTATAATTTTAACTCTTATTTTTATTTAAAAATTAACATTATTTATAGAATTATATTTTCAATTCATATAATAATTCTCAATAAAATGATGTCTTCAATGTTGAATTGATAAAATCTTGCTTAAAAATAATATTTAAAAAAGTATATGAAAAATCATTTATAAAAAAAGATACTAAATAAGAATATACATCTAAAAAATAAAAAATAAAAATAAATACAAATAATTTTTTAAAAAAATTTAAAAGTCTAATTAAAATTTCATTTTAGGCCTTGAAGTATATTAAATTGCCCCTCATGATTATAAATTTATACAAACAAAAATCTGAAAATCCGATAACGTTTTAATCAATTTAGAGCTTATTTGGATAAGCAAAAAAAAATAGTTTTTACGTTAAAAAATAAAAATGTAAAACTTTTAATGACTTTCAAAAAAAGAATCCCTTTTTAAATTTTTTTAAGTCATTTTAAATTTATTTTAAGTTATTTTTAACGTTATTAAACATTTAAAAAAAAATAAAAGTAACATAAAAAATAAATCTAACCAACTTTTATATAAATCTAAAATAGACATTCAAATATATATTTTAAAACCATTGACACCCCCGCCTACCCCCTTTTTTTCACTTTTTAAAATCCTAAAGGAAAATAAATCAAAAACAAAGAAAAATAAATAAAATAAGCAGCTTGAAAATTAGATTATCTCCGGGAACTACTCAACATGTTAACTAAATTATAGCAACACTGTACACATAATTTAATATTACAGTATATCATTGTGAAGGAAAAAATAAATTCGAACAGCAACATTCAACTGAAATTGGAGATTTTTTTCACTAATAAATGAAACTTAGGAGATAACCTAAGGTGATTACACCTAAGCAAAAAGTTCATCGATCTATCACTCCAGAAAAAAAAATCAATCAAAGGACTAAATGAAATATACAAAATTAAATAGTCACCATGATTACAAATTAGTTGTAGGGCGTGTTTTCAGCGATTTGCAGTTGCGATTTGCGCTAGCGATTGCAAATTGCAACGTACAATTGTATCAACGAATACACACGTTTCTTCCTTTGTATTCCCTGTTGGAATATCTACTACGTACGATTCCACCACCACTGTTCCGTTTTCATCATCCGCCGGATGCAGCGTCGTCACCGATCTGTAATTGTTCAGCCTGTGATCTCCGCCGACGACGCTGAAACTGATCACGTGTTCCTTATCGTCTAAGATTTCCAATCTCTCCGTGCTAGAGGCGGCTGGGAGGCCGGAAATTACCTGAACCTCCCTTAATGTGCCGACGTTCCCGTCTCCGACGATGACGTGGCAGCTTTTGAGAAAATGCTTATACGCTTGCGGGTTGTCGAATCGGCGGACTAGTGACCATACGGCGTGGATCGGGGCGGAGATCGTCTGCACCACGGCAGAGCAGCACTGGTTGGGGCTTACAGCGTGGGTGTGGTAATGTAAGTGATTATTAGGGACGGAGAACTGCACCGGGATAATACATGTCGGTTGAGGCGGTTTGTGGAAGTTTCCGGCGAGAGTGGTGGTGGTTGTGGGGTTGATTCTCTGCAGCTGAACTGAACAAGGCATTTTTATTACTCTCTTATTCTCCAAAGGAGAGAGGTGAGGATGTAGTCTTCTTTACAAATACAAATGGTGATAGATGCATATATATATATATATATATATATAAAATGCATATAAAGAGAAAATTGATATGTTCTATTAAATATTAGTCGGTTACAATTTAAGGTGACATATATGATACAATAATAAGAACTATTTTATAATATTTTGAAACCTCTAATGTAATATAAAGTTTATTCTTTGTTTGTAGTTAATGTCTTAATTATTTTTAAGTTTCTTTAAAATATTATATATATTCAAATTCTAATAGATTTTTTTGATAAAACGTGATTTTTAATTAATAATTTAGATATGTGAGTCATTTTTGTAACGATAGAGTTATATGTGAGTCATTTTAATAACAAATTTGAGATATATATTATGTCATTTTACATATTTGGTCTTGCAAATGAATCTTACTATCACTCATATTTTGGCCTATAAAAAAAAAAGCAAACATGCATATGAGGAGGCATGTTAAAAATATAATTACTTTTAATTTTTAGATGAAATAATAACAAACTTCAATAACTTAAATTAAAAGTAAGGTCTAACTAATATTGAAACAAGTGTTAAAGAAATTTTATTCTTTAAAAATGCTACTTTAATTTATTTTTTTAAATGTCACTTTTGTAAAAAAAGAAATAAGTAATTTATTTTTAAAAATATTTTCTTAAATATACTTTCCGTAATGATAAACTGTGGCCTAGTTGTGTTAGTTTAATCTTTCCTAGAAATAGAGAGATGTTTTTTCATGCAACTTGCATACAACTCATCTAAACAGAGTCTCTATAATTAAACTGCCCTCGTCTATTCCTATAATTACGTAATCTGCCTTCGTTAACGAAAATGACGTAATAGCCCTTGGATCTTGTTCTACAAAAGGCTACAAAGTAGCCACGTCACTCTTAAGCGGTTCCGCGTCCTAGCGGCCTGCGAAATATACGCAATTGTAACGAGGCCATCGTAAGATAAAATGTGTCAGTATTGTAATACTATAAAAAAATATTATGTATGTAGTTTTAAATTTATAAATTTTATTTTGAATTTATTATTAAAATTTAAAAATTGACGTTTTAAATTCAAACTATGTAATTAGGACGAGGGGAAAATATTCGTTGATAATAAGGTTTTTGAAATTTATGATACTAAATACTATTTATTAATGACAAGAGAACTAGTTGGTGATGTATTGGTATGTTCGATTTAATTTTGAATTTTATCAATTTGATTTATTGGCTATTAATTTCTAGTCATATTAAATTATTATAATGCTATTAAGATATTGATTTATTTGTTATTAGTTCAATTATTAAAAATTCATAAAAAAGAATGATTGAGAATCACTTGGAAATATAGTGACATTATAAAAATACTGTGAATTACATGAGGATTTTTCTGAGTATTAGTATGAAAATTCTCAGGAAACTTATTTTCCTGCAAATATTCGTACTAATTTCCAAATAAATCCCCATATAATTTACAGTTTTCTTGTAGTGTGATAAATCAAATAAACCTACATATACATGAATTGATAGATTACATCTTGTTCAAAAGCAACATTGACACATTGTTAAATAATCGAAACTATAAGACAATCAAAAATTAAAATATGAAACTAAACCCTAAGTCATGAATTTTGTATATTGAATAGTATAAACATAACATGTTACTTTACAATAAAGTTGTTGATTAATTAAAAAAACTCAAATCATTAAAAATAAATAACTCGATTATAAAAAAAATTAAAATCACTTATCGAAATCATTAAACTAATTATTCATCACCGATAAATCAATAACATTTTTTGAAATTATTATTTTTGATTCAATTTTAAACAACTTTAATCATAAATTAAAATGTCTTGACTAGTTTAAAAGATCATTTAATGTAGTTGAAATAACTCAATTTAATTATAAAATTTGTATAGTTCATTCTTTAACCGAATAATGAAAACATTCTTGTAAAGAGATTAGAGATTACAGAAAACTTGTATTATGAACTTGAACTAGAAGCACTTATGCTGCAACAAGTTTTAATTTAATTCAAACTGAAAAGAATATGAACAAGTGGTGCAAAACTATTATGTAGGATGAGGCTCATTACTCAAATTGTTATATAATACAATAAAATGGCTCATTTTCTTACTTGAGCTATCAATTATAAATTCTTAGAATATGAAATTGATACTACTTGCAATTTAATTTTCTCTCATAAGTACAACTTTAACTTGGTTCCAATTTGCATAATGACGCCTTTTATCTCTATTTCCACCCCCTTTCCCTCAACTTGATTTTCTTTTATATATGATGTTTGATATTCTATCAATTTGAGATTTAGTTTATCTATATTTGTGTGGAAATTTCTCAATTAAGGCATAAAAAATGCAAGTGGTAATAAGCTTTAATTTAAAAAAGTATAT